CTTTGCTATTCATAAGGTTTTCCCTGGCCAATTCTTTGAGAAGTGGACGGCCTCTTCCTTCTTCCTAGTCTGTCTCAGTCTGTAAGCTGGGCTGATACCTGTGCATCATGTGCATCCTGCTGGGTTTGAAACACCAGTGGCTCAGCCTCAAAACTCACATCAACACGTCTCCACAGTAGGACAAACTGACAGACAAGTTCGTCTCCCTGTTGGAAACCTCTCATACCACCTTTACCTGGGTCCCTGCAGCTGACTCCTCCTCTGTCCGGATTCCTGGGCCTTTTAATCCCCTTTCTTCCACTCTCCTGCCCTGCTGCTTTGGGTGTGCCCGAGTTCCTTCTCCTCACCTGGATCCCTGCAGCTGACTGCTCCTCTGTCTGGGTTCCTGGCTTTTAATCCCCTTTCTCCTGTTCTTCCGTCCTGCTGCTTTGGACGTGCCTGAGTTCCCTTTAATCCCCTTTCTCCCGCTCTCCTGCCCTGCTGTTTTGGGCATGCCTGAGTTCCCTCTCCTCACCTGGATCCCTGTGGCTGACTGCTCCTCTGTCCGGATTCCTGGCTTTTAATCTCCTTTCTCCTGCCTTGCTGCTTTGGGCATGCCTAAGTTCCCTCTCCTCACCTGAATCCCTGCAGCTGACTGCTCCTCTGAGTTCCTGGCTTTTTAATCCCCTTTCTCCCGCTCTCTTGCCCTGCTGCTTTGGGCATGCCTGAGTTCCCTCTCCTCACCTGGATCCCTGCGGCTGACTACTCCTCTGTCCTGGTTACTGGCTTTTAATCCTATCCTAATAGCTGACAAATTCATTGAACAGTAGATATTAAGACAGGAATCTTAGGGAAAAAATAGACCAAAATGTTTCCAGTAGTTCCCTCTGGGTGCTGGGATTATTAGTGATTTTCTTACACCTTTTACATTACTTAGTATTTGTACAATAAAAAGTATCACTATTACAATAAAAAAGTATATTAATAAAGCAACTGTTTGCAGTTGAGCGAACCGAGACATTTCTGAACCATTCACCATCCTAAGAATGTGCCAGAAAGTGAGTAGGGGTTTCCAGACTACCTGTGAGATCACTCTGATTCCAACTGTATCAAAATTCTAATCTGTCAAAGGTCTCTATAGTTCCAGAGCCTTGCTCAAAACATAGAAAATTTTATTTTTGACTAACAGGGAAAGGAAAAACAGAGGAATCCAACAGGACCAAAGGAGAGCCGACCATAAAAGCATATGAAAAAGCCAGGATGTGTGGCAGGAGCTGTGCTACAAACTTGTAACAATGGTAGCAGCCCTACTCACCTGCTCCTGTTGGTTGGAGGCCACATACATATCTTGCATGCCATGAGAATCTCCAGATGTAAAATGATTACATTCCTCTTGCTGCAAGTCCTTTTTCCTTTAAATAGAACCTTTCAGTAGCTATGGTTGGGTGTTTATGAAATCAAAGGAAATGCCAATCTTTTTCCAGCTCAGTGATGCCCAGAGGGAGATTTGTCTATAGTTAAACCAAAGGCTGGGATGAAAATTTTCAAGAGGTTTACTTCCTTTGTTCAGTGCCTTTAAAGAAGGTCACGATCCTGGTATCAACTCCTACTATAAT